ACTCGTTAAGTGAATTGCACGCTGTAGGGACATCTCGTCACGCGTGTATCAAATTAGTAAGGGTTCTGATGGAGCTGCCTGTTATCGCATGTGGCTGGTCAGTCATCAAGCGAGGTCGTCTGCGTGGCAGGTTGGTGTGACCATGAATCATTTAGATCTGCCCGATTGTCCGGCTTTCAGTGACCTACACTCTAAAAAAAAGGTGTATTCTTACACCCTTTGTCCCATATAAGACACCCCAAAACTTCAGACGTCGATCTTACGGTACTAACTTTCAGGAGAGGTTTGATAGCCGTGTGATAGAACTTATTAAAACAGCTAATGTACGTGTTACAGACTACAAAAAAAGAAATAATAATCGGGATTTTCTTGGCCCTACTGCAAAACCTCAGTGTTTTCTTTCTCTGGTCTTTAATACATACTTCAGCTATTTAATGAGTTATATTGCTCCGTTATCAAGCCCCTCGTAAAATGTATGGCCGTCTGTGCGTCGAACTAAAGTTTTGGGGTGTGTTATATGGGACAAAAGGGATACCTTTTTTTAATAAAAGTTCTTTTTTGGTGGTGAGGGTCTTGACATATATATATAAGAGCGTTCGTTGTTTAAATAAACTATACCCGTTTTTTCCAGAAAAAAGGAAGTTTTGAGCATTTATTTATTTATTAAAGTACCCCCGGCACCCGAAGGCATTACAGAGGGGGAGAGCACATACGTGAAACAAAGATGTTTGTATACGCGACGCAGTCTTACGAGATTTGGTTGTCGGACAAAAAAGCGATGATTTTGGCGCTGGAACATGTACGTCTTGATAATATATATAGTAGAATCCAGCTACATATATCTTAATTCTCCACATAAAGGTGGAAATTAGTAATGGTTCGCGAGGAGTCGGACTCTTTTTACTAGAGTTCTTGACGTGAAAACGGGTATAAAGCTGTGTTTGAGACTTGTTGTCTCGTCCGTTATTTTTATCGTTCCGTGTCTCCCGTTACTATGGAAGTTCTTCACCAGCTCGCCTGTGTTTTTAAAGTGTTATAACGGAATGAACGGTTTTGTAGACTGCAAAACGATTTAATGAAAACTTTGTGAAATAATTTGATACAAGAGGGCTATATTCACGTTCGTTTTCAGGCTTCTTTCAAACGTATTTTATTTTGATCCACACGTCCGGCTTGTTCCTGTCACATCGTGTTTCTAGGGGTCCTCCTTTCTCGTTTCCACGCCGGGATCCAGCATCGGGGGTCGAAGTCGAGCCCTCATCCGGTCGAGTCGGGGAGGCTCTCCTTACGGGGCTTTGCCGCCAGCGTATTTGCTTACACTCCCGAGCTCGAAATCCTTGCGCCCTCGCACATTTTGTTAATGTTGTCATGATCCTCTGTTATGCGTCTAGCCATGCATCGTGGAGGGCGGCGTCGGCGTGATGCGCCTGCAATCGGAGGGTCTGCCGCGGTGCAAGGCGAGTTGGTTGAAATCGACGTCAATCGCTGCAGGTTGTTCGTGAAAAAAAAAAAAAAAAAAAAAAAAAAAAAAAAAGGCTATCGTGCGGCCGCTTGGCGGCAATCCGGTGTGCTTTGCCGGGTAAACCCGGAAATGCTGTAGGTTCGATTGTTCATGTTGGTGATGACTACGGTCCGTGGAAAAGCAGGCCAAGTTTCGAGGTATAAAAGGCCGTTTGTGTACCATACCCTGTCCCTGACGCGGTATGGAGCTGGTCGATGTTTTGCATCGTAGGAACGCTTCATGCCATGAAGGTAAGTGAGGTTTGCGTTTGCAGCGTCGCAGTTCGCGCGGACGTCGCCGATCTCGTCAGGAAGCGGGGAAAATTCCATTGGTCGACGTGGGACAAAGTTGAACAGGAGTTCGAACGGTGATGTCTGGAATCCGGCGTACGGCTGCTGGTTCACTTGAAAGCTGGTTGCCTGGAGATAATCGCTCCAATGGTCGATGTCGCCGTTGACGTTCTTTCGCGCAGACATGGAAAGATTTTTCCGTTGGCGCTTTCGACAAAGCCGTTAGCTTCGGGAGCGTAAAGTGCTGTTAGGGATGCTCTGAATGTGCCTGTCGGCGAAGTGCCGCGAAGCCGAACGAGAGGTTAGGACCCTGTCGTTGTCGGTGATGACGGCTTGCGGCGTACCAAATGAGAGTACGAGCTCTATAAATTGAAGGACGTGCTCGGTCGACTTGTTAGGCACGGGGCGCGTGACAAGCGCGTGGTGAGGTGGAACGCGGTGATAAAATACCTGTTGTCGTCGGTCCTCGTCTTGCGGAGGATTTTGCGCCGCGGCTGCCAGCCTGCGTCTTACAAACGAGAATAAACAAGACGCCGAAGTACCTGATACTTCTAACGGACGCACTCTTCACCAGCGAAGGCAATATATACCTCTCCAGAAGAAAATGAAATAAAAAAGTGTGTTCCTTTTTATGGTATTTGCATCTGTTTTCCAAATTCAAATGACTCCTTTTTTTCACCCCCCCCCCCCCCCCCCCCCCCCCCCCACTCTCTAATTTACCCCTCCCCCCTCCCCTCCCTCTTCCGCGCCACGCCGCCGCCGATCCGTTGATCCCCGCGCCGTCAACACGCCGCCGCCGGAGGTACAAACACCGGCGCGCCGCCGCCGGCGATTTCTGACCGGCGCACAGGTCTAATTCCTCCCCATCATTCCGAACAGAAAGAAGTTAGTTTCGGTTTGAAGTCGGTACCTTTTCTACAACATAGACGGCGGCAGCATTATTTTTCTCCACTCGGTGCATCTGGCGAGTTTGTTTGAGTCCAGTTCTCAGTGCAACACTCTGCGAGTGCGATGCATTCTGGGAGAGAACTCGAACGGTGCCAGTGCGTGTGAAACAGGGGGTAAAGGTGGGTGAGGAGGAGTGGCAAATCCCGTGCGCCGACACCCGGGGTCCCGAGTGAACGATCGCGAAAGAGAGCTACAGAACACGAGAGAAAGAAAGCAACGTTGCCATGGTAAACGCGAAGAGTGTAAACTCTCAGCAATATAAACAGTGATAATTTAACGTTGTAAACTAAATTCTGAGCTATTCTAACGCTTATAAAAAGCAATAAAGTCATTACGCTGCATTAACTTCCCTTCTGTCGAAATCTCGGAAATCTGGTGGTTGCGCCGTTTCGTATTCCTCAACCGTGCCCAGCCGCGCCTCACTGGCGAAGCCGGGTATATGGTTTAGTTTAGCGTTAACGCGAGGCCGCACATCTGCAAGCTATGCAAAAAGAAAGCTTCGAAAGGAACGCGAATATCTTTCCACCGGTAAGTTCGTGGATTGTTGAAGTTCACGAAACTGCTCTGATGATGTAACCATAGAGATCATACATACTAACTCTAGAGGAAAAGGTCCGCCATTTTCCCATACATTCTGGCTGCCGCAAGCGGCGGATCATGCAGGCAGACCCTCGGGGTCCCAAACACGGTTACATCATCAGAGCAGTTTTGTGAACTTCAACGATTCACGAACTTACCGGTGGAAAGATATTCACGTTCCTTTCGAAGCTTTCTTTTTGAAAAGCGCGCAGATGTACGGCCTCGCGTTAACGCTAAACTAAACCATATACCCGGCTTCGCCGGTGGGGCGCGGCTGGGCGCGGTTGAGGAATACGAAACTGCGCAATCACCAGATTTCTCAGATTTCGACAGAAGGGAAGTTAATGGAGCGTAATGAGTTTATTGCTTTTTATAAGCGTTAGAATAGCTCATAATTTAGTTTACAACGTTAAATTATCCCTGTTTATATTGCTGAAAGTTTTCACTCTTCGCGTTACCATGGCAACATTGCTTTCTTTCTCTCGTGTTCTGTCGCTCTCTTTTGCGTTCGTTCACTCGGGACCCAGGATGTCGGCGCACGGGATTTGCCACTCCTCCTCACCCACCTTTACCCCCCTGGATGTAACCGTGTTTGGGACCCCGAAGGTCTGCCTGCATGATCCGCCGCTTGCGGCAGCAGAATGTATGGGAAAATGGCGGACCTTTCCCTCTAGACTCTAGAGTTAGTATGTATGATCCAGTGGTATGATCCAGAGCCGTATATGTAGAGAGTTTGGTCAATGGGAGGCGCGGGCAGAGCCAGGGCGTGCGGCAGACTCGGAAAGAGGGCTTGGCATGCTCTCTTGACCAACCAGAAGCCGAAAAGAATCCCCTAGCGGTGGTAGCGAGAAACAATTCTGAGCCGATCGATCATCGAAGGTCTATGTTCGTATATGGTTTTAATAAGTGCGTAAGAGTGAAGTGTAGTAACTCTTTGTGGTTGAAAATAGGGTGCACGTGTTGTTTCATCATGATCATGCAGAAAGACGTAAGAAAGGAATGTGCCGCTCAACGCTGTTTTGCGCGGACAGAGTGTGACCGCTCTGACGGCAGATTCCCGGCGCTCGGCGTTTGGCGTAAGGATTATGTCGATCTTTCCGCTAGTCGCACTCTTCCACCATCATTTTAGATGAGTGTGATTGAAACATCACGTGTACCATATTTTCAGCCATCAAGAGTTACTTTAATGCAGTTATCAGGTTTGTTTCTTGCGACCACCGCCAGGGTATTATTTCCGGCTTCTGGTTGGTCACATTCGAATTTCTGAAAACGCCCTGGAACACGCCCAGCCCGCTTTCGGCCAATGGCGCCGCTTCATTTGTCTCCTATACTTCCCAACGAAGGCCAAACTCTCTACATATACGGCTCTGGTATGATCTCTATCACTGATCTCAATGACAATTTGTCATTGAGATCAGTGATCTCTATGGTGTGAAACGAACTCGCTATAAACTTTTTATGACTAGGCTTCACCAATATTGCAACGTGCCCGTGCTTACGTATTCTGTACATAAAATGCCCTAAATTAGCGAATATGTATTAAAATATTAACATAATTTGAGATAATATTATTTATACAAGAGGAATAATGGGTGCAGGTTTACTTATGACGTCACAAAACTTTTCATCAAACGATCAAACCTTCGAACAAGGGAACGCGACGACATTTATCATTCAGCAAATTTAGCGCCTCCCTGCGCTGCTGCGGATGTTAAAAGGATTACAAACGTTACGAGGAATCGCATCTTTTTTGCGAACGACGAGCGGTCGCACAAGCTGGTGTCTTCTCAGCCCCGCCACATACTCGTCGGAAAGGCTACTACGGTATGGATTTCACCAGCGATCGCTTTTGCACATCTCTCGCATGGCTCACCACTTCGCTGGACTTTTAATTCACTCTGGCTGCTTGGGCACTTTCCATCCAGCATGTCTGTTCTTTCTCCTCTTTTAGCCGACGGGTTTGGAAGACCATGGATTTCATGTCTGTTATTAAGTAAGCCTGCCTCTTTCTCTTGGCTCTGCTGCGTTTTCTTTTCTGTCTTGAGTTCGAAACATGCCGGCGACGCTTGCTCGGGGCGCCTGCGCGGCAATCGCTGCATGCACTCTGTGCGTTACACGTCGACACCGTCCACACCCTATTCTCACGTCTCATTGAAGATTCAGCATGACAAAACAAGAATACGGGGAAACACAGTAAACGTTGAACGTGCGCTCGTTATGTTGGATCAGTGGGAATATGTTTCTTTAGCTTGGATCAGTGAGAACAAAACCATCAACTTTGATCGTGTGTTTGTTATGTTGGACCAGCGAGAACGTGGTTGTAGTGTTTGTACAATCTAGCTTGATTAATATCAGGACCCTCTACTATGTTACGGTTAAAAAAAAAGAAAAAAAGAAATGGGTCGACAGAATGATGATGAATAACATGCATTACTTTTCCCCCAGTTATTTGCTGTGCTTTATGATTTTACGTTACAATGCTGACGCTTATGCTTACTTCAGCAACTCCATCAATGTATCTTTTTTCTTCTCTCTTGTAAATATCATTGTTATAATATTTTTTTCTCTTGTATACATAGTTCTCACGTGACATCACTTCCCCTATTTCCGCCCATTGGCCGCCATTACCAGGTACCGAGAACCAGACGCGAATGCTGCCGCCACTCTTGTACTGCTCGACTAAGACATCGCCACGGCACATGTATCGTATGTATGTTACAGCATCCACATGCATGATTACAATACCGAGTTTCCATCTTAAATGCAGGATCACTGAAGTAAACATTTCAACTCGAGATTCATAAAATGCATTATGCAAACCGGCAAGGCTCTTAAAGGGCGGAGATTGTTTACCACGCTCGTAGCCCAGATGCTGGGTGGGAGTCCGGTCGGTGTTTGTATCGTCGGTGAGGGTCGATGGTTCACCTGTACATTAAAGGATGTGCTTATACCTGAGGCATTAAAAGCCGCAGCTTCTGAGCTGTACAAATTCGCGCCGCCGCCGAAACAATATTGAAACAAGTGGCCTACAGATACCACAGAGGTTAGGAAGTTCAGCAACAAAGGTAAGAGCAAAGAGAGTGGCAGCGGCTGTGCGTAATCTAGAAAGAGGTCTTTCAGTACCTGGAGCGTGACACTACCAGACACTGTAAAATTGCCCTAGCCGCTGTGGCAAAATGCGCAGAGTGTATACGTAAGTTATTTAAACCACAATTTGAAGTTCATTAGAGAGAGAAAATGTTGGGATGCTTATGACGTGATGCACTGCTTACCAAAATCCATGTATTACGGATAATGCATGTATTCCTTAACGGTAATGAAGCAATGACCACAAACACTGTCATTGCCGAGGTTCTTCAAATTCCACCCATGTATGCGAGCCAGCCGAAAGCTCCTGTGTTCCTGGGACAGCAGTTTTGTGCTCTCAAACTGTTTGTTTATCACTTTCGGCAAACTAGGCAGCCTTATAATTGGCATTTTGCTACACTCCTTTGCGGAGGACTTGCATATGCTGTGGCAACCGAACATTGCGCATATTGGCATTACTGCACCACTATGACCGCAAGTGCACATAACACGTAAATACGAAGGAAGGAAACGCGCACCGATAACGATGCAGCAGTGGCCAGCGTTGCAGGCGGTGGCTTGAAACCGAAACTATGTCAGTACCCGGTGATGGCGGCGACATATCCATAAGCCCCGGCAGTGACGTCCGTGAAAACTATGTATACAGAGGACAAGGCAGTATTAATAAATGAATAAATGCATAAGCATGCCACTGCAGTGCCGAGCCAAATCAAAACCAAAGTGATTGGCATTCATTTGTGTTTCTGAGACCTGCAGTGTGAGAGCTATATTATTCTAGCACTTTATTCAAGGGTGTGTTGAAAAAAAAAAGACACATTGAAAAGTTTTTATTGTAGAAGCGTAAATATCTGGGCGAGTTGGTGGTGCATCCATGTTTCCTTGTTTTGCAGTGGTTCGAAGCGAGTCTATTGCAGGCATCTTCATTATATTTTATTAACTTCCCAATCTTGAAGTAGGACAGTGAATGTGACTGGTGTTGGTCCAACTTTCAATGATCCGCAGTTCATTGAAACCGAGTTCTCTTTTAATGATTCTGACGATACCCAAGTTATGTGAAGCATATTTTGAAGTTATTTAAGGAGAGAAAATGTTGGGATGCTAATGATGTAGTTCATTTACCAAAATCATGTTCGAGACTTCTTGATGCAGGTCGTGCCAGGAATCGAGAATGGTAACTACAAACAGTTTTCTTGCCTCAAAGGAAGACATTCATGTCGCATTATTCTGGCACCCATTCATCTATTATGACGTTAAAGACACCCCTTCCTTGTGCTTTTAAACAATTTCGACTGGCCGAAGCGCTATTGAATCAATAATCAGAAAAGAATACTATTCGGCTTGCACTCGCCAGCATTCAAATAACGTTTCACCTAATTCCCACCTAATGCTTCGCTGAACTGAAAGGTCCGAAAAATCTGGGGAAAGATTATAGCAGTTTTTGGAAGGAAGGATGCATGACAACTGGCGAACTACCTCCACGCTTGCTCTAGTGTATACAACACACACTTTTTTTTTGTTTTCTAATGTACTTCAGTTCACCATCCAGGTATGATGGAAGCTTATTTGAAGCCACACAAAGGCAACTAAGTGAAATTACAGAACACTCTGGTTGCGGACGAGGTGAGAACGACGGGGAGGAGCTTCGGTTGTCCTGCCTCCATTGTAGGCTTCCTGCCTTTGATGGTGCTTCGGCATCTCAACTTTACGTAGTTATTTAGTTTTGCTGATTGGACAGCATAACTGAAGGTACGTAAAATTTCGCAAGGCTGCAATTGCTATTTTTAGACCGGAGAGGCCTTTTATTGAGTTTGCATGTTTGCTTTTTCCCGCCGGTATAAATATAAAGAGGCGTCGCACTACCTTGTAATGCCTGTTAAAGAGCGCAGGTTTCTAGTTGTGCTGCTATAAGTTGCATGCCTACAGCCTAGTAATAAGTTGGCACATTTGCAACAAAACCGACTCGCTGTCGTATAAACACCCATACAGCTAAAGTAATCGGGGATTTTTGACTAGCGGACGTGAGAAGGACTTTAGACTTGCCTACCTTAAAACAGAGCAAGCACCCACCCAAAATTTGGAGGTAATCTTGTTAGGTCCAAGAGTGAAAGTGCAAGAGTGGCGCATGATGAGGTATGCCTCACCACATTGGACCAGCGCACACATGTCAAGCTGCACCGCATTACACTGGTGCGAGTGTGTTGGGCCTTCCTGCTATGCACAGGCGTGCTCGAAGAAGTGGTCGACAAGGGGAAAGGGGAGCATCCTGGTTGGCTAGGTGAACCCTGTAGGCTCGACTGGGCGCTCGCGTGTCCTTTGCTTATATTTCGAAAGTGGGATATGGGTGCAGCCTCGCTATCTTAGGCACGTGCTCTCGTGAACTCGCTGGAACGTTGAGGTCGTTTCACATCAACACTGACTGCAGCAAACACTAGGAGCCATCGAAGCCAATCTAGCGACGAGTGCAGGTCGCGCAACCTTCTGGTTGAGCTTAGCGAGGTCACGTCACGTGATACATTTGAAACTCTGGATTGGCTGCAGTCCGTCCTAAAGCCAGTTGAAACATTTAGTTTGTGTGTGACCGATTGCTTGTGACTGCTTATGACGAGATAATAAAAATTCTGGCTTATCGGATAAATCCGATGAACTTGAACTTGACAGTCGCCGGTAAAATTTTCGTAAATTCTGATTTATCTGCAAAGCTAAAAATTTCAAAGTCACGATGGCCAAATAAAAACCAAGAAAGACGTAATTTGGTATTTTACAAATAAAGATTGTCAGGGCACCGGCCTAGTGGTTCTAAGTGAAAGCCAATTCAGTTTATATTTTTTTTAAATTTTGGACTATTGACAGAAGAAAGTTTCTTGTTTATCTCGTCAAGGTTCGTTCAGTTAGTGGGACAATTAGTACTGCCAATCGCAAGGGTGCCAATGGCAAATGCAGCTGCAGAAATATATTTCGATACAGATGCTTTGTATATAAATTTAGTGTATGTTCTTGTCAAAACACGTTTTTATATTGAAGTAAAAAAAAGGAAGAGCAGGGTATAATTGGAACTTTGAATTTTGGAAAATTGGAGATCTAACAAAAAATTAACTCCGATAAACCCGGAATTTCCAGCGCAAAAATAAACCGAAAAACACCCTCCGTTCACAACAAATAAACTCTGAAAACACGGAATCCTGCGGATGCCACTGGCGCTATCTGTCGGGTGGCCCTGGCCCACTTTCGTTCTGCAAACACTTTCTAGTTTTCTTGCAGATCGTTTTTTTTATTGTAAGCTTCAAATAATTCTGACGCTCTCATGGGCGGCCACTTCTCATATGCGGTGGTTTGATCTCGCAAATACTGCAGAACCTAAATTAGGACCAGAAGTGGGCAATGGATTGTACCAGTGCATCATCTTGTCGAAAGCAGTGTTATGCAGTTGGTCGCACTGAGGCGCAAAACCCTGAACTGGCCTTTCTAGTGAAACGAGCCTGTGTGCCCACTGAAGAAGAGACCAGTGCTGTACCTGAACGCTTTATTCATTTAGTTTATGACCAATACCTTGGGAAGAAATGTTGTCATTGCTATAACTGGCCACTAAGTAAACTGGGTATGGACATACTCTCCGAAAGAAGAGACCTTCGTGATTTGTTATTTTTGCGCAAACTTTTAAATGGCAAAATAGCATGTTCGTGTTTATTATCCGCCATGAGCTGTTGTGTGTCTTCTTGATCTTTGAAGGTCGATGGAACTGTTTAATATTGGTGGGTGCTCTCCCTTCTCACTCACACGAAAGCCTCGTTTAATGGTGTTTCATCATCGTCTGTTATTTTTAAAAGACTTTCAACCTTTCCACTCCGGTGAAGAAGGAAGACCAGTGAAGCTGTACTATGGTGGGAATGAAGTAATGGCCGTCTGCAAGTCGGCATGCCAGTGTGGAAAGGCTCGAAAGGTTGCCGCGATCTATGAGCGACGACGGCAAGCAGACAACCAGCAAACACAACACTCTGGATAGCTACCGCCATCTATGAGCGACGGCAGCAACCAGAGTGTTGTGTCGACATTTCTGTGCGGTCGGACATGATTCTGGGAAACCAAGCCCGTAACAGTTTCGCTGTAAAACTTGGTGCCAGGGTTGTCTTAGGATATGCGGATTTATTTTTATTCTGTGCTGTATTTTTGTGTGTGTGTGTCTGTGTGTTTTGTGCTACGTTACAATGTACCACCGGGAAGGCATGTTCCTGTTGGTGGGCATCAATAAATGAACATAAGCATAATTAAATAATGTGAACTTGACAAGGTCAAAACAAGGTGCTTATTGGCAGTCCTTGTCGTTTGTGTCCTTTTTTTTCGTCCTTGTCTTATTCATTCTATTTATTTAGTTTCCAGTATGAATCAACTACTCCAATCACGAATCGCGGTGCTCTATCGAGCGCTACGACACGACAGTGGTGCTTCGATAATCCTCCGAATGTTGCGTGTGCCGTCTCGTTGCTTTTCCAGAAGAGCGTTCGGCCTCCTGACCATGTCTGGCAGCAAGCCTAACGTCGTGTTTGTGCTGGGACCCCCGGGCTCTGGGAAAGGCACCCAGTGTCAGAAGATTGTGGAGGTACGACGGGGACGTCCCGTCCGCGGGACATCCATATGGGACACGACATCCTGTGTGTGCTGTCACGCTCAGTGTCATCGCTTATTCTGGTAGCCATAGACAACTGATGTCTTCGTAAGGTGACACAACTGCTTGGGAGAAGACCTTTGCAGCAATAGTAAGAGCAAAGTTGTTGTAGTGGGTCCTGTGAGGAACAAGGTAGCAACCTGTCTCATGAAGCCCTTTGAGTTGCACATTTATTTATTTAACATCAAGGTCATACAACATTACATAATTAGTAAAAAATAAAATCATGAGCCATTCCACTTTGCGAAGGTGGACGACCAGCGAAGCTGTTTAGCACATGACACAGACCTGCCTTGAGGAGCGGGAGGAAGCTAAACACACGCGGCAGGACAGCCACCCCTGGGAGAACGGAAGGAAAGGAAACTAGGCACGCAAGCGCTTGGAACGACGACCAAGAGAGGGCGGTGCGAGCGTAGACATGGCCGACGCGGGTCGCACAGCGGCAAGTCTTTGAGAGAACTTTATTATCTACCTGAGAGTCTACTGATCTTGAAAAGGCTGCCAATTGATAACTAATCTACTGAATAGACCTATTGCTAAATTACCCAAGCATCAAGGAGAATGCAGGGAATGGTGTTCCACGTACCGCACGTGCCGGCGTCTGCAGCAGTAACTGTCCTAAAGCAAAAGCTTAAAACAAATGACATCTTGCACATGCATTTGTCAGCGCTTTTGTTTTTGTTATTTACTTAGAATCTTTTATACGGGGAAGGCGTGCGGCGGTGCGAGCGTGAAGTTTTTAGTCACTGCACACGAAAAATCCATGGAACCCTAGCCATAAACAGCTTCGCCGTAAAATATAAAAGTCCCTGGTTTGGAAATTGTTCGCTGATATTTGGGTTCACTTTAGTGATGGCTTTTTGTGTCGATTTTGGCAATAAAAAGAATAGAGAGTCATGTAAGTTCAGCTGGTGTTGCAATGTTTAGTGGATCCCGGTCGACGGCATTGTGAATTATTTTTCAGTTGTCTAGCATCTATATCATAAATTCTGCGATAAATCCCGAGGTAGAAAAACAAACCAATGGATTGTTCTTTTTTTCCCACTCGTTTTGGGGTTTATAGTTTTCTGTTAATTCATCTTTATGACGTTGAATGCAAATATTAACTTTCATTTGCACATGTGACAATACAATTGTTGTTTTTTTTGTAATTTTATTGTTTTCCAGCAGTATTTTCAAACTTTTCCTCTTGTTTTCAAGTTGTCTTTCATTTTTTTTTTTCTAGAATTTCAGTAGCTTTGATGCAGTTTTCTGTAAGGCTTTCTACTTTTTTGCTTTCCGAAAAGTATTTTGTAGTTTGATAGTAGTTATTCTTTTTAATATTAAATACTTCAAATTTTCAACTGTTTTCTAAAAGTTGTTTGATAGACATTCAAGAGGTTTTACATAGTGTTCAGATAGTTTTAAATGAAGCTTTCTTATGGTTCACTCAACGATTACTCAGAGCTATTAGGAATGCTAAAAAAAAAAAAAAAGCTTCTCATAGCTATCAATGATTTTGGAAAAACTACAGATAGTCAGCGTATTAACAGTTTTCCAAGGCCCTTTGTTGTACACTGCACAACACTGTTAAGGCTCTGTTATACTCCGACGTAAAGCGCGCGCAAGTGAACGCTGGCCGAAGTCAGCAACGTCACGTCAGTCACGCCGCGTGCGTCAAAAATTCGCCCTCTTTATACTCCGGCGGCCCTCGCGGCTTGCGTCGGTGAGCCGCCGGCGCGGCGCATGCGCAGAATCTGACTACGAGGGCACGTTTCCTGCGAGAGTGCGCCACTTCCGGTTCCTTTTCGTTTCGAATAGTAGACGAAAATTTTCGTGCTTCTTGAGCGCCAAGTTCGAGCGATGGCGTGGACGTACCTTGCACGACAAAAACTCGCGCTTGCACTGTTGGTGCACCACCTGCGTCGCAAGCGTAGGCGGTCAATGTACATACGGTACATCTTTGACTAGCGCACGGTCTACAGTACTCAAGCTTCCTCGTGTCGTAGACACACAGGTGAGGACGAATACCCTCGATCAGCTTCTCGACCGACCAAGTCCGATTCTTCAAACATGACGGCACACGGAGTGGTGCTCCTGCCGTCTGCTATTGCTCGTATTCGCCGCACTTCCCGCGCGAGGGCTGCTGGGAGCCAGCGCGTGATGCATCCTGGTCCGGCGTCGCTGGCGCGGCCGGCACAGAATACGGCATGCTCCATTTTGGTGTCGAGGCGGTCAGGCTGCGTCGAACGCCGCCGGTCGCTTCGGTTACGCCACACGCCGGAGTATAGAGCGTCGGGCTTTCGCCGACATGACGTCGCTGTGACGCGCTCGCACATGCGCATGCTTTACGTCGGAGTATAACAGAGCCTTTAGCATGAACACAACTTTGGCGCTTTTTCAGGGTCCGCTTCAGAGGGGAGTACTGGGAGAAAAACGGAAAATCGGCAATGGGCTTGTTTGCACTAACAGTGTCGTTGCATGTACATGTCCCATTTGGCCTACGGATCCCCATGTGGCGGGTTCGAAACCCGGCCGAGGTGCCCGCAGTCTGACGGAGGCTTATTGCGGAGAAGGCGCTGTGTAGCTGAGATTTCGGTTGCACGTCAAAAGATCCCCAGGTGGTCGAAATGAATCCTCAGTCCTCCGCTGGGGCGTGTCATATACCCTTCGTTGGTTTGGCACGTAAACACCTTCAGATTTGATTGATTGCACATATCCCATCCATTTTTCCTTTTCTTTGTTTGCACATTTAGTGTATCTTCCATTCTCTAAGTCCCCTGTGAATGGGAATTTTCACAAAAAAGTGGGTATATAGGTTGCACCTTAGTACAAGTTGCACTTACCGTAAAATACCGAGCTTTCTCCCATTCCTCAATAAGCGCCTACCTCCTAATTTTTTTTTACATTCGGAAAATACATAAGGACGTGTCTATACATATGATTGACCTAAGAAGCACCCATCCCCCAGTTTTAATTGATTATCTCCAAATTTTGAGTGGGTGCTGGCTCGGCATTTAATGGTATCCATTTTTACGGTTGGCGCTGCGAAATTGCATTGGCAACCCTGCATGTTTGTATTGAGATGGAACTATATGCACAAGCGGGGGACACTTCTGACGAATTGCAAGAAATATAACCCTCTTGGCAAATTTGCACAGATATTTTTCGTTGCAGCATGCACCCTGTGCCAAATTTTTTTCGCTAAACAAGAAAAACAAAAAGAAATTGATGCAGAAACGCGGTTGCATGATAATTTACAAATAATTTTTCTGTAGCGATCCGTCACAAGCTTGGTTTGTGGTGAGCTTTAAATGAAGATTGCACGAAAAATATTATTTTTCTTTTTTTTAAAGAAATGACATAGAACCGTTCATTACTACTTCAGTTTTCTGGCAAGCTTGCAATTGCATGTGCTGCCCACACGAGCAACACGCACTTGGCGGCCCAATGATCCCAGTATGGCATCGCGACTGGTCGGAGGTTTTTCATGTTTTCTCTCGTTTAGTTACATCTTCGGGGAAGAGGAGCGTGATATTCAGATTCAAGAGATAAAAATACGTCAAAATTCACCTCTCTTTTTTTTTTGTAAGAAGTGTTTCAGTTTTACTTTAATGACGAGATGTACGAAACTTGCTTAGAACATTTCTAATAACGTTTAACAAGATCAAATGAAAGAATGGAGCTTAAAGAAGCATTGTAAGGTAAATTTGCAAGTTATAGCTTTGTTGCCTGTGGGCAACACCAGGCAAAAGTTTGAAAATTCACTCTTTACGTAACCTCTATAGATCACTATAAAACGTTAATAATATCTGCACATACGATAGCCTCAAGTCAACTGATCACATATCGTAAAATATTGTGGAAAGAGAAAAACACTTATTCATATTTTTCGTTGTTTCGCCGTTCTCGGTTGCCGCCTATTGGCGCACCAAACTTCTTTTTTCTCATCAACTATTTGCGTATCTGTTCGCTAGATGGCGCTGTAGTTTCAATCTTCAAGACTTGCCGGACTACAAGATTAAAAAAGTGCAATAAAATTGAAACTTTTAAACAAAAAAAAAATATTATGTGGTTTGTTGCCTGTGGGCAACACTCGTCAACATAGAGTTAATGGTTGATTATATATTTCAAGGCAGTTTTAAATGGTTCTATGTCATTTCTTAAAAAAAAAAAAAAAAAGTAATATTTTTTGTGCAATCTTCATTTAAAGCTCACCACAAACCAAAACCGAAACCCCTCCTGCGCCGGGCAACATTGCTCCTGTGTCACCATCTGCACCTCTAACCACGAACAAATCGTGATGCCATGTGCCTGGCGCAGCTTGGCTTAAAGGCGGAATTGTTGTCTGCTACAATTGGTAGTCTGCTACACTCAACGACGCCTCTACTACCGTGACCGCAGCTTGTGTTTTAGCACAGATGTCAAGTTTTTCCAAGGGCTTGCTTTGAAACCTGGAAATTGCAGTTCAGTAAACCACCCGCGCATATGTCGCTACAGGTTTGTAGAAGTATGCCGTGCTCAACGTCACAAACTGGCTTTCTCGCACGCGATAGATGCTTCCGGCGATGGCACATGCTTGCACGGGAGCACACAGGCACATGTGCGTTCTATGAATCACGTGGTCATCAATGAGCACGCTGCTAGTGCTGCCTGTAGGCTCTCCTTAAAATAGTACAAAACAAGCAAACAAATCTCCCCATTAGCCCCGAGCACGATGTATGCAGCACATGGTGGGCTGCGCCGACACGGTGGTATATAGTGCGCTGTTGGCTTTGCCGTGCCTTGTCCGCTAGGATTAGCAGATTTTAGTAATTTCGCGTTCCTCAAATGTTGTTTGTCAGTTTCATCAACTGTTAGGTGGAAATAGATTGAAATATGTGACGTGTGGTGTTTTTTGGCGATACTAAAGACAACTGCATTGTTTTCTCAATATCTAAAAAGAACCAAAGTTGCCCTTTAAAAGGCCACTAAAAAAATATATATATATATATGTTTTTTTTAAAGTCTGGTTGGGACATGCATGTTAAAAAATAAATTTTACATGAAAAAATTTTTTTTTTAGAGCAGTATTGATGGCGCGAGGTGAGATTTATATGGTAGCCGCATCCTTTCCACTTGTTTTCTCTCTCGGCATTTCGGTTGCATGGAGGAGAGGTGGATTGGCTTGGCCATCATGCTGGGGTGGAAAGAGTGTATGACCATCCTCTGACGTCATGGAGCTTTGCATGCTGAATTTTAAATAAATCTCGCATTGTCAATATTCCTCTAAAGAATTATTTTTTCACATAAAAGTAATTTTTTGACACGGGTGTCCCCACCAGACTGTTTAAAAAAATTATTTTTCTTTTCAGTTCCCCTTTAAAGGGAATGTGCGATCGCAACCGGAAGTACTTAATCTCTTGCGCTTGTTACGTCGAGAGAGCCTTTGTGTAGACAGACGTCATTTTAATTTTGGTATATGATCTCCCGTTATTAACTAAACCTTTCATGAGCCTATGTACGAAACTGCAGCCCGAATTTCGCCAGTGTCAATGGCTGACATCCGTAGGTGCTGCGTGACGTCACAAAACACAAAGGTTTGTTAAGGTCCATCTCAAAGGAAAAAATGCATATAAGTCATACCGTCGTATAAAACACACCAACACAAATAATAAAAAAAAAATAGATTTATACATCGGAAAATATGGCGAGTGCAAGTGAGTGTTGTCACATACAGTGTTTTGTCACATACGCTAGCTTAGCGCCCTTCTGTACAAATGGTGATTGACCGAGCGGAAAACTATGCTCGGTGTTCTAATCTCAAACCAAATGCTGGGACTTGGCACAATAGAGAACCTTTGTTCTCTCTCCAACTTGCAGAAATTTGGCTACAAGCACCTGTCAGCGGGGGAGCTGCTGCGAGAAGAGCAGCGCACGCCGGGTTCGGCGTACGGCGAGGAAATCGCAACGCACATCAAGAATGGAACCATCGTTCCTGTGGCCATCACCTGCAGTCTCCTGGACAGGGTGAGTCTGTGGGTGACCCTCAGATCGACGTGGACCTTAAAGCACAGAAGCTTCACTTTACAAAGTGGAAATTGTTGTTTCCTTGCCATTAGGGTGCGTGAAATGCTTCTTTGACTGGTGTGTACCGCTTCCTATCCCGCCCTTCCATCTAAAGTGGAATGACGTCCCAGATGACAATGCATCGTGTCGTTGGATGCTGTGGTCCTCGCAACCGATTCTGGACGTCCCGGCAAAAAATTGAAAGACGTTTACAATCCCCTGTAACGACAAATTAGAGTGCAGCTCTTGAGGAGGAGGAGGGCAACTCGCAGCAGAACGGGCATCTCCCACATCCACCACTGCCGCCGCAACACCGCCAAGAACGCGGCCAACAACGACGCGGCCGACGCCGACGCGGCCGACACCGCTGATGCGGCCAATGCCGCTGATGCGGCCGACGCGACAATTCTATGACTTTGTCGTGCGGAAATCGAGGGAACACGTTTGTGGATGCGTTGAACGCACCAGTTAAAGACGTGTTCCAGACACCATGGCCGCACTTACGAGGCTCTCCGGGATCTACCAGAACCTCGTGGCGGCACAGGCATCCTTTTTGAGTGTCACCTGATCCAGTTTCGCTAGACTACCATGCCACGTCCCAAGTTACGACTGCCTTTGGCATGCTAGTACATTTGTAATGCTGTTGTGCTCCATTGCGTTTCAGGCCATGAAGAAGGACGGGACTAACAAGTTCCTGATTGACGGCTTTCCCCGCAACAAGGACAACCTGGACGGCTGGAACGACGAGATGAGTGACAAGGTCCACCTCCAGTTCGTGCTCTTCCTCGAGTGTCCCGAACAGGTGAGGTTGTTGCAATGTCTCTGGGGTGGCGCCGACGTCCTCTCAGCGTCCGCGGGACTTTTGTCAAACGTTAAAATCTCCTGAGGATTATATTCGCTCGTAGGTTGAGTGTTATTACGGAACACATCTATCATGAAAGGCAACCTATTCAGGGTTGAGTAGTTACTTTCGGAGGGCACCATCCCGTGTAGGAAAGCTACAGTGAGAAAAGCGTTGTATAGGAAGAAACAAAAACATTAAAAATAGTTTAAATTTTGCCTTCTGGCACCCCATAAATTTATAACCCTCTATATTTGGGGTTAGCAAATATGTATGAATCCTGTGTATGCTCGGTGTGCATGCCCCGATTAATTATCTCTCTGGAGGCAATAACGCACCAAATAACTCCGACATGAACTTTTTCACTGATATCGAAAAGTCCAAAAAAAGTGTACTGTCGAGACCGGTTATAACGAAGTCGACTGTAACAAAATAGCGGCTACAGCGAAGCGATCACGATTTCCCATTCCCTGTTGCACTTTGTTATAACCGAAGTCGGTTATAACGAAATAGCGGATATAGCGAAGTGATTCCCGATTCCTGTTGACTTTGTTATAACCGGTCTCAACAGTACAACCGTTATATACCGCGGAAGTGCCCCCTTTGTTCAAGCGCCCACTATTAACATTTTCCGAAATTGGGAACACTGCAAATTATATGTAAAGTGCACGAATCGACCAAACAAATGCCCATGTCTAGGTTAACCCATTTTTCAGGGGAAGTGGGGTGGGTGCTTCTCCGGTATTATACAGCACTCATGATTACTTGCTTGTCATACTTCTTTTTTCTTTCGCCTAATGTATGTGCTTTTCCCCTAAGGCTTGCCAGCTGTTGGGGGGCACAATAAAAACATGCTTGATTCACTGAAGCAGTTGCTGTGTTGCGTTGCATGACAGACGTGCGTGGAGCGGTGTCTAAAGCGAGGCCAACAGGGCAGCGGCCGCACCGACGACAACATGGAGAGCCTCAGGAAACGGTGAGCTTCCGTGTGCAACTTTGATGATCACTACGACGCAGTAGGACCTTCTTGATACGTTTCTGGGGGGCCCCGGCAAACAGATGTACGGTCCAGAAAACGTGACGACCGATAAAGCTTTTGGAAGTCTGTACCCGAGACGAATAGACTCTCATGTAGGTGAACCCTTTGATGGTTGTCGCTGTACATGCACGGCAGTGATTACAGATTTCAAAGCACCAGTTTAAATATGAAATTACGCACGCCGCGAGAGGCGGTGGTATTTGTTACGTCTTTGGCGAACCATAAAAAACCATAAAAGTCGTATTTTTCGCCCACAGTGTGCAAAGAAACGAAGACGATAGCTGTAGGACGGTCGCGTTATGTAGGTGGAATGGTGCCGTCACTTACCTGAAAACAGAGGTGTGACGTGATTAATTCTCGTAGCCGTCGTGGTAGGCATCGTGGATGCCGCCGACGACTGTCACCAGTGATCCGTGAAGTGGGTAAGCGCAGTGGAAGCTTCTAAAACCATCCAACATTACGCGTAGCGAAGGGCTACTGTCGAAGTTTGATTTCACATAATGCGAAGAATGTTTGAAAGTAACTCTTTTGAAGCAGACGACACAGGCTTGCTCCCTGCGACGTGCAGTTATTGTGAGGCAGCGAGGCACACCCGACAAGACGTGCCCGACTTCCCTCTCCTCGCGGCAGGAGGGAAGGGAAGAAGGATTTTTTCCCTTCTTTGAGCGCGCGGCAACGGCGGGAGACAAAGCCTGCAAAGTGTCATACATAAAGCTATAGCTTTAAAACGTTAAGTTTGCATGGTGTTTAGCTTTGCTGGGCTATTTTTAATTTTCAAATTAGACAGTGAGTACAGTGAGGCTGACTTCGCATACCGGCTGCCCTGGCGGCAGTGCCAATGGGAGCACTGGCGCTTTCAATTCAAACTTCCAACGCATTTTGGAATTAAGTACAGAGGATGAGAGCTCATCATCCGACGGAGAAACTCTGTAAAGTTAGTAATCTTAAGCCGCTGGAATGTTGCAGAAGCAGGTGTGCCAAAATGGAACCGAATTGAAGAAAGGTGACAACTTTTTGCCATCAATATTTTAATTTCATGCTTCTAAACCAAACAGCTTGCAAGCCCGGTATGTGCACATGCTAGATAATTAAGAAAAAAAACCTGCGCATTGACTTTTTCTTTGCACTATATTTTTGGAAACCAAAACCCAACTGCAAAACATTGTTTGGAAAAAAAAAAAAACTCAACCGTCAAAGGGTTAACAAGATGTTTTTGTGGTAATCTTTATTAATTTAAGTTTAGTTTGGGATGTTCCAAGTTTTCCGCATTATCGGATGTACACCGCTACCACCCTTCCGAGCAGAGTTAGCGGTGTCGAAGACGGAATGTAAAAGAATCGATTTGTGCAGGTTCCGCACGTACACCGAAGACACGCTGCCCATCATTCAGTACTATGACAAGATGGACCTAGTCAAGAGAGCAGACACCAGCAACAACGACCCGGATGAGGCGAGTTTTCAGCGCCGAATTTGTTATAATTAGGAGATTGTGTTTTCGGTGAATGCCGACGAACCCCGAAAATCGACCTCTGAGCCGGTTTTGTCAAAGTCGAGGAAATTCTAGGAACTCCCGAATTGGAGCGGAAGCTCCCATTTTTTCTGGAATTCTAGAACGGGAGGCATTCTCATCTACAAATTTTGCAATTGACGGGTTTCATGACATGTCCTAACCGATCCCCGCGTTATCACTTTTATCGACTGCGCATCCCATATGTTCAGATATTGTATGCCCCAATCTCCCTAAAACAATGGTTTACCAATTTGACTAAAACTTGGGACCAAATTTCGAACCATGTCTCTTTTCTCCTTATCTCTCCTTTTCCCCAGCCTGTGCAAGTCTTGTCCCCACATGGGGAGACTAATAGTATGGGTAGGCATGTGCTCTTTCCCGTTCTCAGCACTAAAACAACAAGAACCCATTTTATTTCGCCTAAAAATGGATCACGGAGGACGCTATACAGAAGGCTCGCAATAATTCAAACTCGAATAGTTTGTACCCCTGGTTAATTCAAACAATTAAAAAAAACTTGGTTGTCCTGCTATGTTTTTAATCTGTTCATAAGCCGCTTAATTCCAACGGCCTTTTGTGTAATTCATACTTTTTTCCGAGCACCGGTGCACTGCAGAGTGGTAACACCCAAGGGGAGCTTGCTTCCGCGGGTGATGCTTCTCCACTGTGCACCGGTGCTAGGTGAGAAGCACACTCAACGGGGAGCTACGAAAGAGGGACACCATGCAGAAATTTCCACAGCAACTTGCACGGACGCTGTGTCGTGACAGCATGGCATAGGTCTACGTCGTAGCGTTCACGCTAGTTGCTATGAAAACTACTGTGCAGTGCTCGTTTTCAACGCTCGTGCCTCCCCTACTTAATAGTTTACGTTTGGCAACTTCTTGGCCTGATGGACAAACTTAGATCTTCCTACATTCAACTGGCATCTTTCAGAAGCATGAATCACCAACTAGCTCAGTATTGACGATGCACGACGCTGCCTCTGCGAGCCGAGGAGCACGCGCGAGGAACCTTTTGTGATGTCATGTTTTCCCTTCACCTTTTACTGCCCTCTTCCGCTGCCGCAGAGGAGCGTGGTTTCAGTACAACTTCAAAGGCATTTTCCTAGGTGATGCGGGCATGAAATAGCCTACTTTTTGTGATATTTGTGGTGCTTGGAGTCAGATTAAATAAAATCAAGTACTTTTCATCAAATTTAAAACCACTTCAGCTTCCCTTTAAGGTGCTGACACTCCAAAGTTGTTTTTCTTGTCTAAAACAATACAAAGTGTAGTAAGAAAAAAAAAAAAACTGCATGCACAGGCACCTTTTTGTTTTTTTCCCTCTTTTCACCTCCTCACTTCTTTTTATTTATGATATAATCGATTATCAAATTTAGAAGCTTTGTGACTGACATTTTTTTCATATTTAATAACGGCATTCGTAAAACATGTTTTTAATGCAATTTCACACACACTATGAAGTCCTTTCTTTTGAAATATTGAAAAATCAGAGTCCTAAAGTGATATCACCTCCTGACTTCCTCGGAAAACATGGCAGCGCTTGGTACCTGTAGCAGTGAGAGGATAATTCGGGAGCCGGGGAATTGGACAAAGTTCTCTATGTTAGGCAGACTTACCTCTCGCGTTGGCCGTTTTTCTTCGTGCGATGCGACCTGCTGCGGAAAGTTTGTCGGAACGAAGAGCTTCCTGCAGGCAGATTGAGGCTGGTGCCACAACTTCCCGCAACAGCAGCCTCGACCGAGGTGCCATTTGAACCCCCGACGCTCTAGAGACGTTTGGGCTGACCTCATAATCCTCGTCGACAAAGCATCGAGAACAAATAAAGGACTTCGATCATAAATCCTCCAATAGTCCTTTAGGAATTGCAGCTAGCCATGCTTCCTTCCCTGACGCGCTCTTCGAGAACCTGTGCAACTTACTTTCGGTTGTAACTCTGCTGGGGCAGCCTTTCACGCAGCACCGGTGCGACATGGCCCCTCACGTCGCTCACAAAAGTCCACTGCGCATCCTCCTCGGCCTCACACCGTTTCAAAGAATCTGAGATTGCAGAAAGGGCCCTAAAAGAACTTCAAACTTGAAAGTGAAGCGTCATCTGCTCCCAGCGACAGGCGGAGAAGCGCAGTTTATTGCGGGATACGGGAGAACATGACACTTCCGGTTTGGATGGTTCGGAGGTGGGAGAGGAAGTTGACTTGCAGGACGACTCAATCTTTAACGTCACTGTTCTGGTACCGATTGCACGGGAAGTTCAAATTCGGCTCTTAAATTGTTTTTAGAGCGCAGCTCTTAGGCGCCCGTTTCCGGCTTGAGCGGCGTCGGCGTCGGCGTAACCGTAAGGTCACGTGACCCCGGTGACGTCACGGGACCCCATGAGGTCACGTGACCCCCCTGAGGTCACGTGACACCCCTGAGGTCACGTGACACCCCTGAGGTCACATGACACTGTGAAGTCACGTGACCCCGTGAGGTCACGAGGGTCACGTGATCAACCTCACGGTTACGGCAACGCCGACGCCGCTCAGGGGGAATAGTAGCAGGCGGGATGAGGAGGTGAGTAGGAGGGAGGAGGGGTGTACGCTGTTCTCAGTACCCTTCCCTCCTCCTCCTCAAGAGCTGCGCTCTAATTCGCTGTTACAAGGAGTTGTAAACGGCTTTTATTTTTCTTACTTCACAAATCAGGCTACGCTACTCGACAGGCTACGCTACTCGACAGAGGCATGCGCTAACAATAACTCCTTTTCGATCGCACAATAATTGCTTCAAGTACTCTTTTTTTCCGCGAACATTAACTGATTGGAATAGCCTTTCTGAAAGTGTCGTTATGCAGCCATCATTGTCTTTATTTGAATCCCTTCTAAATTAGTTTTGTCCCTTTGAAAAATATTTGTTCTTTTGTTTCTGCGACTTGTTTGCTATTTTGTATGCCTGCATGTCTCGTCAATCAAGTGTATACCCACCTGCTAAAATCCCTTTCAGGGATTGCAGTATCAGAAATAAATAAATAAATAAATAAATACTGAGTTCTCAAGCCTCGAATTTTGAGGGTAATGTCCAGGCATCATTTTCAATCATTCCGGATAACAAAAAAAAAATATAATATATATTTTGACTTGTCAGTGCCTTATTAATTTTGTTTTGAGTTGCCATGTGCTGTCTAAACAGTCCACGATAAACAGCATTTTTGAGGTATAAATTATGTCCTACATTTCACAAATGTTTCAAGTGAGGCATATCTGCTAATAATCAGTAGGCCTATGTAAAGGAAATCATCAAATATCTGCTTTGTATGTGTAGCCATTCATATGGCAAATCGTAATTTTATCTGACATCCTGCTTAGATAAATTTCTGACATTTCATACTTCCGATAATTCAAACAAAATTTGTGACTTCCTGGAGTTTTAATTAATGAGAACCTACCATAACCCCCTTTGACTGCCAAGAATCTTTTTTGCTGGTGCACGCCCCATGCCAGTGGTTATTTTTTGTATGTTGAATGCAAATTTCAGTTCCAGTAACATAGTAGCATGCTTTATAAAATATATTTGCTTATCAAAGACGCATTGATCTAGGGATACATTTATCTAGTGCAAGAATGTTGGCTAAGGATCTTTCTTTTTCAAAAAGCGCAGCTCTTAGGGGCCCGTTTCCGGGTTGAGCGGTGTCGGCGTAACCGCACGTTGCATTATGGGACATTTCCCATAATGACGTCACGTGTGACGTCACGAGGGTCTCGACGAAGGTCACGACCTTTACGAGTGATGTCACGAGGGAGGAGGGAGGGAGGAAGAGGGCAGAAAAAGGAGAGGAGGAAGGGAGGAGAATGAAAGGGGGAGGAGGAGGATGGAGAAGGGGGAGAGGGATAAGGAAAGTAGGAAAGGGTACGGAGGAGGAGGGGCGTGCCCTTCTCTTTATATCCCCCTCCTCCTCCTCCTGAAGAGCTGCGCTCTAATTCGGCATTACAGGGATTTGTAAACGTCTCATTTTTTTACACCAGCTTACTGGCACTAGTGGAACCCAAAAATACCCAAACGCAATGCCACTGACCAACAAGCGTCTTCATTGCGGTGGAATTCCAAGAATAACAGCGGACCTTTTCATTCAGTCTCTCCTTCGCAAAACTTGATGGCGCAAGTGCGGGGGCTACGCCGACAATGTGATCCCCGGGCCTGCATCATCAAGCCTTGCAATCCCCACCGTGACAGTATTTCAATGCGGCTCACGCAGCGGACACGAGCACTGTGTAGGCATTCGATTTGCGTTCGTAGCAATCAATGCCTCGACAGGCATCTGGGTAGTGGCTCGTGCCCAGTCGCCAAAATGCCGGGAATAGCCGAACCGTAACAATGCGTGGAACTCGGCGTGTGGCTATGTTAAAAACATTGACAGCATATAATCGGCTGCAGATCGTGTGGCCGCTTGTTCTGGCTCTGAGTTGAGGGGGTCAACGGTGTTAGATTTTTCTCGATTTTTTTTCTGCAACTGCCGCTGCATGGAACAAAAGAAAAGTGTATTTCATAGGTTTTGAATGTCGATAAGTAATTCTAAGCTGTATTTATTGAAAGTAAAACAGATGTTGCATCCCCCCTTTAAAGCCTGCATGCCTCCAACCTTGGACATTTTTTTCGTGCTGTATTTTTTAATATGAAGTAGTACCCTCAAAAATGGTGCCTTGGCCTCGCAGCCTGAGAGAATTCTTTTTGGGTGACCTTACTCCACATTTTCTTTATTCAGAACTAACTCCCTCATGAAGTGTGAGGTTTAACAACAAAAATTCTCTATTTCGGGACAATGAGAAAGCAAACCGAAAGAAAAATTGCCTAAACACAAATCTCCCTTGCCAAAAACAGAGGACACGATGAGACCAAAAATGAAACCCCGTCACGAGTACACTTGGGCGCGACACTCAGAGGGATAAAGTGTCTTGCCTAGATTTATGTTCTGCACCATCGGAAGAAGGTTTCAGCAACAATTCCTAATGCCCGTCCCTTCTTTTCCTTTCTAGGTCTTCAAGGGTGTTGCAAAACACTTTGACTGCCTCTAGACTCTGTAGCTGGCTTCATCGCTTGTGTATAACCTCTGCATCTGGATGGAATTGTGGAAGCTGAATCTGCACAAATACTGAAATTCGTTTTTTTTTTGTTTTGGTTTGCTTTGTTTTAGTTTTGTTTAACATGCCAAAAACCTTTTATTTTCGAATTTTTTACATGTGCACTTTTCGGCTAAAGCTTTCGGTGTGTCATTGTCAAACCCAGGAAGTGCATTTGCTGCGTGGCATTGAGCCCTTGACCTTTGAATCTTTTCGCTTGCCCATACAGAGTTTATTTTTTTAGCAGGCTTTTAGCCATAAGTTTTCGGAATGACTATACATCTAAAATTCAGTATAATTACTATTTAAATGACTGCATTAGTGTAGAATGTTTTCAGGAATCATACTGGACGGTAATTTGCCAATGTAAAAAATATTGAAGACTTGCCTCTATACAGAGTGTGTCTTTTAAGCTTTACAAATTTGTTTAAAAAAAAGCCTGGAAAGCTACACTTACGCAATTTTGGCAGGTGAGTTATGCGGCCAGGGGGACATAGTATAGAGGGCTAATCCTAACGATGGGTCGGCCATTCAGAAACTTGCTAAGCATCATTGAAAATCACTAAGTCAACTCTTTAGGAAGATATAAGACAGGGGCAACATTCTAGGGCGTTCTGTAAAAACGCTCCATTTAAACGGATTTTTAGGTTTCGGTTTCTTATCGGGGCACATCTCTGCATCCGCGGTCCTGCTCCCCATTGGCTGAGACACTTATCATGCGTGCGCCATACTTCTCTCCACCTTGCAAGGGGGGCAAGGGGGTGGCTTTGCATCTCAGCCACTGGGGAGCAGGACCGCGGGCACACAGATGCACTCCAATAAGAAACTGAAACCTAGAAATGCGTCCAAATGGAGCATTTTTACTGAATGCCATACAATGCTGCCCCCCTGTGTTATATCCTTCTAAACCGAGTTCATTGAGTGGTTTTCGATGCCGCTCAGCAAGTTTCTGATTGGAACCACATGTCTATTTTCACTAATTAAAAAGTTAATTAACAAATTTTACTTAATTAGCTGACTGATCATTACAAATAGCCATATATACTTTGTCCCCCGGCTGTATAACTCACCTGCACAAATGGCATAAGTGTAGCTTCCACGGATTTTTTAAAAATAAATCTGTAAAGCCAAAGCACCCTGTAAATGAGTAATACGACATTGATTGATGTTTCAAGACCAGACATCGACAACTATAACGGAACAAATCATGGAGTACTTGCTGTGTTTAGGACGCTATTTATTACCATAGGTAATTTTTTCTACATTTCTTGTTTAGCTGCTCTCAAATTCGTTCCCCAAAGTAATGTAACAGTATTAAAGGACATTTGGGAATCAATATTTCCCCATAAAATAGTACTGTCACCCAAAGTAGAAGTTCATACAATGTGCAATCACGTGAATAAACCACACGCCCCTTTCTCCCATGCTGCAAAGGCTGCAAGCATAAGCCCTTACTCTCAAAATGTATGTGCACTTAGACAGTCCTCGAGCAGTTGGGGTACTTTCCAATGCTTCGAGCTTGCGATTGCACATGCACGCCGCACATGCATTAACATGAATCGGAGTGTACAATTTCTTTAGTCAATTGAGATTTCTGCTGCAGACATCACGAGATTAGGGTGCAAAGTTCGCACCTTAGGTTTTGTGTTTGTAGTTACGGTGACTGTCCCCCATACTTTGTGACGTGAAATAAACGCTCGCTATTTTTTCATAACGAGTTGCGACGACATCTCCCTCATAGCTGTTGTGTAAATTACAGTGTTCGGAAAGGGCTGCTTCAGTGCTGTCCTTATGTTTATGTTTATTCTTATTTTCAGTGACCCACCAACAGCTTGACGCCTCCTTAGTGGTGCACTTACTTAACTCACCTGTGTTAGTTTCAGTTCATGGTGCTCGCACAAGGAATGTGATGTAGCAACATTACCAGGTAAAGTCGGTTGACAAGCTTTTTAGAAAGCCCGCCACCTTTCCAAGGTGCGTCCACTGGGTGGCGCTTGCTATGCCATCAGCCTAGCCCATATGGACGGAACCGATGGAACGGTGGAGGCACATTGCTAGCAGTGGAAGGTGATTCTGTTGTGGGTTTTATTGCTGAGATAAATTTTCTGCAGAAAGAGCATCATTCGAAAAGGTTTCTCTCCGCCCTCCATGGGAGCGGTGCCACTAGTGGCACTAAAATTGCCATCCACCCATGCCTGCCTGTGTGCGGGGGACAGAGAGGGACTGTTTTCGAACGACTCTTCCATGGAGCTTGTCAACTGATAGATCTAAGAAAGTTGTGATGTAGTACATGCCTCATATTGAGTTGACCTCCGTACCCTGCTCACTTAGAAGTTTCCAGGCCTGCGTAGAAAGCGTGGGACCCCCGGTAACAGTGGCATAAAGTGAGACTTGTAATTCATTGCGTGAAAGCTTTATATTTTCAAACGTTTCTTGGTTACGAAAGGATACCTATTTACCACATTGTACACCGAAACACAAGGTTTCACGCACATTCTTAATATGCCATCGGACATTAAATATCTTCGCTACGACCCAAATTATGGGAAACTGATCCGAATTATGCCTTCCCTGGCATCATCAAGGTGCATCGACGATCTATGATACAACATACAGATACAACATAAGAAATACAGTGCGAGGGAGAAAAGGGCAGAAACTAGGAAAACTGAAGTGGAGAGGGGCGACCTCCTTTCCACCATGGCTTTTCTTGTGCGCCTCATTTTCCCTTTCGCACTTTCTTATGTTGTATGTGACCACAGTGCCCCAAAATGACCAGCAAAAATCGGCATGCAGGTGTTTGGAAAGTTTGCATGCAAAATACTTACCAGATGGCTGCTCAACCAGGCTGTCTGCCTCTACTCAAACCAAAAACCCTTTCTAAAACCCCGAGAAATTCCTCTTTCACGGCTTCTATCCACGTTCTCAAACGAACCGAGCAGGCAGAACACGCATGAAAACTGACCTTCAAACCTTTCTTGACTCTTTTGGTGCAGGCCCAGTCGCTGCGTTTTGACGAGAAGGCATGTTTTTGTCTGGTTTCTTCCAAAACAACGCAGGAATGCACTTCCTTCATGGAAACTTCCGCCCACAGCCCCAGACCGGAAGTGCGCGCGATGCACCATCACCGCGTTGTGACGTAACGGAGTTGGGTGTCCAGCTCTAAGATTTACTTGTACCGCTATGAAATTCGACTTTTGTGGCTCCTGAGCTTCTCCAAACTTTTACTGCTCCAAAGGGGCATCTTTGCTGCTTCCAGACCTGCTGCAAAAGGCTGAAGCTTGCTTTCACCCTTGCACAAACGTACTGACACTGGTGGCACCCAGGTATACTTGCACAGACAATAGTAATCCCTGGAGAAGGGCAACAAAGGACAAACACAAATCTCCAAACACAGCTAGGTGATTGGTGCTCGACCAAAAAAATCTGCCTGGTCCTGGTATCGAATGAGTGACTTCTCCATTTCCGGCGAAGCGCTATACCAACTGAGCTAACACGATTTTCACTTTGTATATAAGTCGCAGTAAGAATCGGGAAAGATGACACATGGACGAAGGTTTTATCTAAATTGTTTTTGCCATGTCGCCACTAAATGCGGCTCGAATATATCCCGTTCAAGGTTAAGAAAAACGGGACAAGCTCTTCACGCAAAGCCCACTGCTCCTTCCACATTAGCAGAGCGAAAGCTGGAGAGAAGGTGAGTGAACTCTCCTTCCCTCTCCCCTCCTCTCCAGCGTTTGGTCTGCTGAAGTGTGTAGTAACTGGGGTTTATTTACATGATTAAAAAAACGTATGCCGCTGGCTAACCTAGGGCTTGCTTCATGTCGGCTCAGTCCAGTCAACCGCGCTCCGTGTTCTCTCTCGAGCTCGCTCGCGGTCTTTTCGCGAGATCTCGTCTTCTGCCTCTTTGTCCGAGTTACCACACTCCTCCCGCTTTAATCGTTTAGGTGCCAGCGGGAGCTCCAGCATCCGGTAGGCTCGGTGGCACGCCAAGTCTGTCTGGGGGACGCCGGATCCGTTGAGGGTAACGGTTTGAGTGTTCAGTCGGAGGCGTGGCTGCGTCTCCTGCCGGGCCTGGCTGTACCACTGTAGGTGGGGCTCTTCCCGATGAACTCTGCAAGTCTCCAGCTGAGTCGTCGACACTCTAGGAGTGGCAGCCGGGCCTAAGAGCATCCATGGTGGTGGGCAGATTGTTTCACGACTTGGTAACTGAGCATCCAGTCGCAAAAGATTTTCCAAGTGAACGGAGACTGTACGTTCCCGTACCTCCACTAGATACCATAGTGGCCCTCTTCGGGAAACAATAACTCCAGGAGACCAAGAGGGTTGGTTCCCTCTCACGTCTCGCACGAGGACCTTATCTCCTACATCAAAATAACGAAGTGATCGTCGTGACTTGTCGTGTGCCAACTGTTGCTGGCGTTGGTGCTTGGTCACAGTTCGCTCCACACTTGGCTTGATTAAATCCAGGCGAGTACGAAGCGGCCGCTTGAGGAACAGTTCAGCCGGTGTTCTCTCTGTGATTGTATGAGGAGTGCTCCGATAGTTCAGGAGAAACCTGGCCAGCCTTTGGTGCTCTGTTTCTGTGAGTGTGTTTCCAGCAGCTGCGTCTTTCTTCCATGCTCGCTTAAATGTCTGCACCGCTCGCTCAGCCGCGCCATTTGAAGCGGGATGGTATGGGGGTGTACGGATGTGCTTCACGCCGTTCATTCGCAAGAAGTTCCCGAAGTCTGCAGAAATGAACTGGGGTCCGTTATCCGAGACAACTTCAGAAGGGCACTTCCTTATGACGCGAAGAGGTTCCGCAACAATTCAATGGTGCGTGCTGCTGTAGTCCTTTTTGTAGGCAGGACTTCGATCCACTTGGGGAAGCTGTCCATTACTACCAGGTAGTGCTGCTTGTCGAGCTCGGCGTAATCTATATGTATCCTCTCCCACGGATTTCTTGCTCAAGCCCACGGGTGTAGAGGAGCAGCAGCTGGTTGGTTCTGCATGGATGCACAGGCGTAGCACTGCTTAATGAAATCTTCAATGTCTTGGTCCA